AGTCATGAAACATCTTTCCTTTACCTCAAATAACTATTATTAGATATGTTCATTATAGATCATAGATAAGTTCATTGAATAATGCAAGAGTTATTTAAAAATGAAGTTCAGCAGATATTCCAGTCTGGCTCTTTTGACAAATCTGGCAGCCTCATTTGAGGTACTTGCCTTTCAGGCAGAGTTTGAGTGATTTGGTTGCCCTGAAATGTTAGGTTTGGTTTCTGCCTCGGCCATAATGTTCTTCTAGCTCTGAGCACCATGGCACTGTAAACAAATAAATTTGTAAGTTTCAATATGAACCAGTTAAATAGGAAACTTATTCATTTCACACAGAAAATTTAAATACATACTTGAGTCTGGAAACTTCCTGTGTTAGCATTCTCAAGCGTTGGCGACTATCCAAAGTTTTTGCAATCCAGTCCATGCGAGGAGCAGGAGGTACAGAAAATCCAAGACTTGGAAGACTGGAGATACCCTGAGCTGAAAATTTGATGCCTGTGTCTGATTCTCTTAGAGGCTTAGGGTGAGCTGTAATGTGGCTGGGAGGTGGAGCTTGCAAATCATCCTTGATTAAGGAACACTTTTCGTCAATGGCCATATATTGTGAATCACTCAAGCGTAATTCCTCAGTGAAAGGTTCTTCACTGTTAAGTGCAGAAGCAGATTCCATTGGTTGGGGTAAAGAATTAGACTCTTCTGTACTTTTGACACACAAGGCTGATAGGCCCTGTGTAATAGTCTGGTGCACTTTGAGAATTGATTGAACTGGAGTTTGTGAAATCTTCACCTGTTCTAAGCTCAAAGTGTCAGTGGGGTGTTCCATTTGTGCTCCCGCTGGTGATTTTTGTTTAGGTCTACTACCTGCACAGGAGGCTGTTTCTGAATTGAGGACAGCCTTGTCTTCTTTTGAAACGGGGCAGCTTGCCTGAGGTTGGTTTTCAGGTATAGCACTGCTGTCAGTGTCGGTGGGCATTGAGTATAAATCAGGGCCTCCTGCCTCTACTGTATCTGAAGAAATTGATTTATTCCCCACTTGCTCCAGACCATCAGTATCTGTTCCTGACACTGGGCTTTCCAAAGTGATATCAAAGCTACCAATGTCCATTGATAATGAGTTATCGGTGCGGTTCAGTTCAGAGCCTAAGTTGCTGGAATTCCTCACAAATATTTCATCAATCAAACGATCTAGATCAAGCCCTGCTTTGCCAACAACAGTCTTACTGGTGCATGGTTCCTCTTTTGACGGAAGTGTCTTTTCTTTGACTAGAACACTCTCAATCTCATGAGTCAGAGAAGTTAGCTGAGGTAAGGACATTCCATGAGGTGACGGCACAATATCTTCCACGCTGACTTCACTAGAGACCGTTACAGGTTCTGGTATTTTAGGCATCAAAGGTGTTATGGGGGATGGAGCACAGTCAATAGAATCATTCAAAGCCCCCGCTTGCATTTTAGACATCCAAGGTGTCATGGGGGATGGAGCACAGTCCATTGATTCATTCAAAACCTTCGTTTGCTTTGGGGTGCGAAAGTCTTGCGGTTGAACTTGGAGCTGCCTCTTATCATGGGGTGGTGAGAGAGCAGAGGCGTATCCTGTAACTTGCTTGTCCTGCGACATAGCCTGGCGCTCTGGTGCGGAGTCCTCGGCCGCTGTATCATCCTTACTTGTCTTGCTGGTGCCTTGATGTGGTCCAGGACTCTTGCCCAGGGTCCTCGGTTCGGCGGTGGTGGCTGGGGGTGACGAGGGTGAGGCTAGTGGTGATGTGGGCGCTGACCCTGACGCCGCCGCCGCGCCCTCGGGGAGGACGGTCTTCTTCTCTCTCAGCGAGCTGCGCGTCACCCTCTTGCAATAGTCGCCCAGCAGCCCCAAATCGTTGAGCTCGCCGTTCTCCAGGAGCAGGTTATCAAACTCATTCTTCCTTTTGACGCCCCTCTTGGGCTCGTTCGCGCCGCTGTTCATCGCCTCCGCCTGCGGCGCCGATGACGTCTTGCGCGATCTGCCGCCGCTCGCTCGCCTCGTCTGAACCTTTTCCTTCATTTTGGCAACGTTAAATGGGGCTTGATTCACCAGAAGTAAATTTACTGCACCACTCCACTCCTCGATATAGATGAACGATCTCGTCTGTCTTGTCAGTGTCAGCTTCGGCTACAGCGCGGTGGTGTGGGGTTTTGAACAGCGAGCCACGGCCTTTTCGCGCCAAAGCACGACCGGCGCCGGATGTAGTAGCCCCCTGACCATACTCGGGTTTGAAGGGCTCTGGCGGCTGACGGGCTGGCGGGAACCCCTGTCAGTTGGGTGGCCTACCTCCCGGCGGAGTCCTTTGCAGAGCGGAGGGAATGCCGAGATGAAGCCGCCTTTCAAGTCGGTATTATTATTTTCAAGCGACGTTTGCTTTGCCTTTTTGCGTTTTCTTTTTGAGCTTTTTGCATCGACTGGGGCTACCTGACTTTAAAGAAACGATAAGCAGGCCAAGCAAAAATCAGGACTCGCCATAAATTGCCTCCTTCTGATTAAACGTAAACTATGGCTCCAGACAGTGAAATGGGGGGTAAATAATCAATTTCGGTTGGGTCCATTTTAATCTTCTATAGCTGACATTAAAAATTGAGTCGAGGTGTCAACTCGATTGGTCAGTTGGTGTTCCAGGCAGGCCCTCCTTCCCTCTGACCCAATCGCGCCTCATCGACATCGGCCGAGGCGAGTTGGCGTGGATAGGGAATAAAGACGCCAGTTATGTTGATCAATCGCGGTGACCAAACAGTCTGGCCCAGTGCGAGAGAGAGAGAGAGAGAGGGGGGGGGGGTCTGGGAAGGGAGACAGACGGGGCGAGACGCCGCCGTTTCACTCTCTCTTTGAGGTGTGCCCGTGGTCGGGTCGGACAGGCGGAGCAGCCTCCGCGCGGACTCCGCGGGCGCGGGCAGGACAGGTGTACAGGAGGACACCCCGATCGCATCATCGCCTCCCCGGAGCTATCCCGATCCCGAACCCTGGGCAGCACAGATGGACAGGAAGGCAATCATCTTGATTCCTGATCCCGGGTGTGATCCCGGCGATGACCCAGGAGGATTCGTCCGTAGGTCCCGTACTCGCACCACACCCACTCTAATTGAACAATTAAACGCCGTGGTGGCCTAGATTGCCAAAATTTCGGGACTCCTCTTTTTGATTGCCAATTTTTGGCCGTGTTGCCTCTGAGTGTGAGTGAGCCTCCATGCTCCCATTGTCCTTTTTCGCGCACCTATCACGGGACCACGGGGTAGTTAGTGGTTTCGAGGTATCGAGGCCGAGCACATTTCTTCCAGTTGGATGTACGGTGGTCCGCGTGTGCGATTGTGTCCTTGTCGCTCGTACGGCATTGTCTGGGCGTCAGCACCAAATTATTCATGACGGTATAGTTTTGGCGGAGAGGGACCTTGATGGCCAGCGGAACAGCCCTCGGGGCCACAGTGTCGCTCCAACACTCCAGGCTGCGCCAGCAGCGGTGTGTGGGGCAACTCTGCCCTGACAGCGAGCCGGGTGCACGCTCGTAAAACAATAAAGAGGTGAGCACAATCGCGTTAGAGATCGTGCACGTACCACCCAGGCACCACCACGTGCCCGAGGGGGGGGGGGGGTACGAGTATTATGGAATCCCGAGAGGACCAGCAGGGCCATTCGTCGTAACTCGTAGATTACCCCCCCCCCTCCACCATGAGATTTGTACTCCGAGGTATGAGAATGTCATGGGGCTCCCATGAACTCCAGTGGTGATCCCGAGTGATCCTGATATTTGCATCAGACAGACAGACAGACAGACAGACAGACAGACAGACAGACAGACAGACCCTCCCACCGGGCTGTCCGGCGGGGGGCAGCTCGGTAGCCCCGCGCCGCCCCGCGCCGCCACGCACCGGCAGCGCCTCGCCTCGCCTCTTTCCTCTTTCGCCCCGGCTCAGTCAGTCCCTCAGTGGGTGAGCGAGCAGAGCGCTGCACGGCCGGCTGCGCGTCACCTCGTCCGCTCTCCGCCATGTTCGCGGCGAGTGCCGGGTAGTGCGTGCGTGCGTACGTACGCGTGTACGTAGTGTCTGTGTGTGTGTGTGAGTGTGTGAGTGTGTGTATCATCACGAGTGCGGATTTTATTTGGATTAATCAACCTGGATCAACAACAACATCAGAGGAGGTGCGTCTCCGTGCCCCATGCAGGAAGCGGAGAGAGAGAGAGGGAGAGAGAAGAACACGCCCGAGGCTGTGACGTTGGAATGATTTAACAGGTGAGTGAGTCGTCACTTTACTTGCACTACGTGCTCGTTCAAAAGGACGCCGGCGATTCCTGTCGTGAGCGGTGCGCTGCACACCCCTAACTGATCGGCCTAGTCTGTGTGAAGCCAGTGAAGCTAAAGCAGGCCCCTTCATCTTTGTTTTGAGTAAGCTTGTTGTTGTTGTTGTTGTCGGTGGCCGATTGACATGTGAAGCCTGCTTGAAGCTAGTTTCAGCCAATGAGATGCGACTTAAAACAAATGGCGGGGTGGTTCCAGCTCCCTCAGCTTCACGGGTCTCACCGAGACTATAGTAGGGACTATAATGAGCGAGTGTGCCGAAAAAA